GGGGGGTGGCACCAAAGAGATTTAAAATGGTTAGGTAAACAAAATTTCGAGTAAGTAAAAGGGTGGGTAAATGAAAACTCAAGCGTTGGGTAAGAAAAAAATGTTCCATGCCAAGCATGTCTTTACTTACTAAAATATTGAAGACTAAAAAGCAATGTCAATACAATATGTGAATCTACCAGAATCACTATCTTGATATTTTCAGATTTGTCGGGAGACAAATAATGTCTCCAAAGAAACTACATAATTGCACAGACAATATAAAACTTTCGACTTCAGAAAATTTCACAAACCGTTATCAAACTCATGTCACAGAAGTGGTACCGGTAAAGGACTTGTGTCACAATTGAATGGTATCCTTTTGTAAAGTTTTGGCCAGGGGTGGGTATTTATTTTTAAATTGATTTTCAAGGTTGGGCAATCAAATTTTGTACTTTTTTTACCCATTGAGTTGCATTGCGCCCTGATGCACCCTACTTTAGTACGGTATTTTTGCCACAAAAAACCTTTCTCTTCGGTGCCACCCACCACCATAAATAATGACATGTCCCTTATTATGAGTGTATCAGTATAATTAACCCATTAAACACCAACACCCTCCCCTTTATGAGTAAAATTGTCTGGCATTAGACAGAGTAAAATACTAAAGTAGGGTGCATCAGGGTGCAATGAGACTCAATGGGTTAATGGTCATACTGTACAAGAGGGGTAATTAATACTGAATTTTAACACTATTCAATGATTAATGCCTGGCATACTGTAACTGCCAAAGTTATAGGGATGTAAAGATGTTGTCATGCAACCTCTTTTGCATGATTGGGCCTTTTGATATTGGATAATTGGACAAACCTTTTCATACAATTTTCATACAATCTATGAATCTAATATATATATACAATATATATTAGATTATCTACAATATATGTAATTATTATATATCTACAATATATATTGTGTTATTCCCTCTGACACCAGCTCAGTGTATGAGGCAAAGAGCAACGGCACACAATAGAAAAAGATTGATACAAAAAAGTCATTTTACAAGTTAGAGCATAAAAATATTTTTACAAATAAATGAGACAGTGTTTATGAATTAATCATATGGAAGGTTTTCATACCTTATAAACAAACAAAACCTGGCAATTTTTTTCAGAACACGTATCTCTAAACATTTGGACATTCTTGACATCCTCTACTGTTGTTGTGGCATGGTTATCAGCAAAAGCTGCCAGAATCTTTTTTTCCTATTGTTAACAAATCTCTTTCTTCCTCTAAAAAGAAAGCTGCTGCTCACATCAATTGATAGGTAGCTACTTGATGAATTACATAATTAGTTAGTAACCCTAACCTTAATAGTTAAACATCCTAAAGTATGTACTGTAATTTTGTAAATAATTTTCATATTTTTCAAAATATTTCTTTTGTATTTGTCAGCTTTGGGTGAATATAGGCTTATTAAATATGATTTTTGCTTTTCTTACAGGTACCGGTACAAATGGAGTTGTTGCCTTTGGATATGTCGAAGGTTGTTCGTGATGATGAAAAGTTGTCTGAAAAGCAAGAGGGTATAAAAGTCACTGAAGACAGCTCTATGATTAATGCAGAGCTGGGTAGTGGTATTGTAACTACCAGTACTAGAGAAAAGAGAAAACACTCTGAAGAGAGTGATTATATTAATGAGGTGCCCATCCCTCAAAAACGAGTGTGTATGGGTATTAAACATGACCATACATATTCTGTCAGTTCTCATTGTAGATTGAAACAGAAGGCCGATAATCTGTTAGATAAAGCAAAAAATCTGAAGAGGAGATTGAAAACATCTCATATGAAAAGCAACAGGATAAAAAGAAAGGTGAATTCTTTGACTTCAGTTGTAAGTGAGCTAAAGAAAGAGAAACTGGTGAGTAATGATTGTGCCAGTATCCTGGAGACAACTTTTTCAGGGGTTCCTAAGGAACTTATGAAAAGGTTGGTGACACCGAAGAAAAAGAAAAATCCAGGTCCGTATCCAGAGGAATTACGAACATTCGCTATGACCCTGAAGTTTTTCTCTGCAAAGGCATATAAATATGTTAGAAAGAGTTTTGATTTAGGGTTACCACATCCATCAGTGATCAGCAGCTGGTACACTGCTATGGATGGGGAACCTGGTTTTACCAAGGAAGCATTGACAGCATTGAAAGCAAAAGTCCTGGCTGGAAAACGAGATGGTCAAGAAGTCCTTTGCGCGCTGATGTTGGATGAGATGTCCATACGCAAGCATGTACAGTGGGATGGCAAGAAATACCGTGGGTTTGTCGACCTTGGTACTGGCATTGACGATGACTCGCTGCCGGAAGCCACTGAAGCTCTGGTGTTCATGGCAGTCTCCTTAAATTCTAACTGGAAAGTACCATGTGGGTATTTTCTAGTGAATGGTCTTACGGGAGAAGAGAAAGCCAACCTGACGAAAGATTGCCTCACGAAGCTACACGAAGTCGGCGTGAAGGTGGTCTCGTTTACCTGTGACGGACCAACTACTCACCAAGCGATGTTGAAGTTGCTTGGAGCTCGACTGTCTGCTGATAACTTGCAGGCTTACTTTCCACATCCATGTGATAATAATGAAAAAATCTATGTTTTTTTAGATGCATGTCACATGATCAAGTTGGTGCGAAACACCATGTCAGACTGGAAAGTTATGAAGGATAGCAATGGTAACACCATTGACTGGAAGTTTATTGAGGAACTGCATAAACTGCAAGAAACTGCAAGAAATTGCGATCTGCGCATGTAGACTGGAAAACTCAAAAAATGAAGGTAAACTTGGCAGCGCAGACTCTAAGCTCGAGCGTTGCTGACGCTCTAGAGTACTGTGAAGGTAAGCTACATGAAATGCCACAGTTTAGAGGCTGTGGCCCGATGGTAAAGTTTATTTGTATCTTTGATCGCCTTTTCGATGTTCTCAATTCTAGAAATCCGAAGGCAAACAGTTTCAAGGCACCAATCAGAAAGACGAACTATCAGTTCATGAAGAAGTTTCTAAATGATGCCTGTGAGTACATTAAAGGTCTGAAAGGGCCAGAAGGCCAATCGATGCTTAAGTCGAAACGTAAAACAGGTTTTCTAGGTTTCCTCGTGTGTGCCGAGGCAGTTCAAGGATTAGCGAAAGATCTCGTGTCTGGAGAGAACCCGGTCCTGAAGTATGTTCTGACATACAAGATGAGTCAGGATCACTTGGAGTTATTCTTCGGTGCTGTGCGGGCAGCTGGGGGATGGAACAACAATCCTACGGGCGATGCAATTCAGGTCTGCGTACAAGCAACTGTTGATGAGATACAACATCACAGGAGGACGAGGAAACTGTGTTCCTCAAGACGATACCGAAATGCTGAGCAATGTTGAAGATAAAACTAGCAACAAATCGTCAACTATCGAAATCGAGGAGGTGAAGATATGACTTGGCTTTGAGAGATGAGCCAGCTGCAACTGATTATGATTACTGTGATGTTCCCAATGTCTTGGAACTATCTGAATTTAAGACATCAGCAATATCGTATGTTGCTGGTTACGTTGTAAGAATGGTGGAAAGAAAAATCAACTATTTGAAATGTTTGGCCGCATTGACAACGTCCAAAGATAAGATTCCCGACCTGTTCGTGGTGTGGAAATCCAATGGTGGTCTAAAGTTGCCCTCTCCAGGGCTGCTGAAGATCTGTGAATAAACTGAGAAATGTGTGATGAGAATGTTAAACGTTAATCAGGGTGGACTACCACATGGCACGGGACTGCCAGACGCAATCGCCTCAACGGTTTTGCAAGCCTGTGTGGAACACGGAGTGTTCAGTTCCTTGAAGCAGCATTTGTTTGATACGACTCCTTTGAACAATGACGTTTTCGCTTTGATCAAATGCTGTTCAAAGTGTTATGTGACAATTCGCATGCACCATTTAGGTAAGCAAAGAAATGCAAAAATGCATGGAAAGTTAGTACGTAAAGAGTTTTCGAAACTTACGCTGTTCAAAGGACAGTAAGTTTGCGAAGATTGTCATGTTACTGCACATTTTATATGTGTTCGAGATTTGACCGTGATTGTAATGATACTGCACATATTTTATGTGTTCGAGAATTACCGTGAAATGTTAGCGAGTCAATGATACTGCGCATTTTACGATGTGTTTGAGAGATTGACACCATGCATACATGGTTCGCTAAGAATAATAAGTAAAATACTAGGTAAGTAATAAATTAAAAATAAGCTTTTCGTCTCTTTATAAAAGTTACATGTTATGCCGTGTTTAATGCATAAATATCACTTACTGTATACCTTTAGGAAAACCTGGATATACAATTAAAGATTATGACAGCCTACTGAACTGGAAAACAAACAAATTAACACACTACATGATGTCCGCGAGCATCACCATCATTTCGACTAAAACTACAGTCAACGTACTTATCCTTCACTTCCGTCGGTATGTGCATGTAAAATACAGTAGCATGCAGATGCATAAAAACTCACCATGTAAAATAACAATTAACGTTCGTCAGTAACTAATTTTTTGGGGTTTTTTCTCAGGCATTTGCATATGAAAAATACTACCTGTCATTCAACCATTCAACACTACAAAATCTAACTATACCGGAACCTGCAATGAAGCATGCTATAGTAATATACCCCCATGAAAACTTTTATAACAAAAGATGAACAGTCATTAATAGGTTGAGCCGTAAAAGTCAAATTAAATAATGAAATAAGACATATTAGTTGATTATGCTTTTTATCGTATATGCATATAGATTCTACAAGTCGCCAGAATTAAGTGGATTGATTGAATGATTTAACAGATGTATATATATATTATGGTGGGCATTTTATCGGTAAGTTGGTAATTTACATTTTGTCCTGTTTCGAGACGTAAACCTAAAAAAACTCTAACACCATAGCATAGTGACCGAGTACGCGTTCTATATTCTATTACTTCTATTTTCTATGAGACCTCGGAAAGAGACTGGGTATGACTTTGTATTTGTTTGAATTGCAAGGTGGGAAAATTGATTTTTTTGTGGAGAAAGCTAGTTTTAAATAGAATATAAACAAGGTAAAAAACAAAAACTTAGTTTATACTATTATATATTGGTAAAAAAAAACACGTAAAATTACTCTAGTGCATTACTCTTATGTGGTAAAAAACAAACCTATAATTTCTTTCAACTACGAAATTAGTTTGAAGTTATTAAACTATATTTTGTATATAATATACGCGAATATAAATTCAGCTCGTCAAACGTTTTATAATATGGAAACTACTTCTAATTTACGGTGTTTTCCAATTATAGGAAAGCAAGAGTGAGAAAAGTAAGAAAGTTTGCTTTTACTGTTAGTTCATGTCATTTAAAATAATTTAGTAAGGTAAATTTCCCATGGCGAATACTCGACCACACATACATGTATGTTTCCGCTCGATATTTTCTAAACACTATTGCAATTGCGTTTTTAGTGGAAAAACGTGAAACAGGGGAAGAAGGTAATATATAAACTCCGATGAAAATTATTTATTAATGGTATTTATTAGCTAATTGTTGTAAAATCATTCATTACTGTAGAAGAGCAAAGGCCAATGATTGATGGTGAAAAGGAAGGTAAAGGCTTTTTTCATATTTTAAACCATGCATGTATTCTTATTTATTATTTACAGAACAAGTAGATAACAAAACACATAGACTCATAGTATAGTTTTCCTCAAATTGTTTTTTTTTAACTTACCAGATACTGAAAGAAATGAGGAAAATGGTAATACTATAACTGTTTATTTTGTCATACTTTACAAGGAAAACATGTGCCTAAAAGTTTTAAATCTTACTCACAAAACATTTTTATTCTTAGGTGATGATGATGATACAGATGGTAAATAGTCTTGACAGTATAAAATTTGCTACATAATAGCAAGTTATATAGTGGCATGTAAATATGTAACCTCTTGTTCACATCCAATGCTTCATATTTTAATTGAAAAGCCCTTTTCCACAACTTTACCTTTAGCACAACTAAAAATTAATATGATTGCAGCATTTCATAATTCATACCATACCAATACATGTTTTATTAATTGTTTTAGGTGTAAAAGAGCGAAGAAGAGGTAAAAAAGCAACCCAAAAATTTGAACAATATTAGCAGCATAAAAAATACAGTAACATGAAGCAATAAATTATTAAAACACGGCACTGAGAAATACCCTAACACAACCTATTCTTAAAATGTTAATTTAACAGTTCACCTTTTATCATTCCAGGAAGATGTCGCAAATGTGGCCTTAAAGGCCATCATGGCAAAGAATGCCATGCCAGTATGTATGTTTAAATTACTACAGTCACCTGAGGCTAGTTAACAATATCAAAGGTTCTGTCATCACAGTAGAAATTTTGCACATGTACAGTAAAGCTTAAGTTACAAACGTTTTGAAAATTGTTGAAACAACTACTAGCCTATAGTGTTTGACTGTTATGCTCATTTCCTGTATTCATTAAAATTACACAGATTTTTTTTCAATTGTGAGACATCATCATTCACAATTACACTGTTTATAAATATGAAATATGAAAGTGCAGTTGTGTACATTTATTGTTTATTAATATTAAACAGGAATGCTATGCTGGGTGTGCGGGAAGAAGGGGCACACAAGAATTGTGTGCCCACAGAAAAATCACGGTGGAAATAAACAAGGTGCAGTGCACCACTGGCATGGTTCCTACAACATTGTTTTTAACAATTAATAGTACTTCAATTAATAATACTAATCTTTAATAAATAATTAATACATTAATTTTGTCTCAATCAATTATATGCATGTCTATTTTCCTTGTGTGTCAATTTAGTTAATATTGACATTCAAAATCTAATAACAACTGGAAAATGTCATTTTCACAAAATCCCAATTATTGTGCAAATAACAATTCTGGCCTGTTTGTCTCACACATGAATTTACCACATAACTTGACCATTTTACATTGATTCTCAAGTTGGATAGCATGAGGTAGTACTGTATTAAACTTAAACTAGAAAGTGAACAGCACAATACAATAAATATTTATTCCTTATTTCTGCTAACTACTTGAAGTTATTTGTGTTAGTGTACAAATTAATTAGGCTAGCATAATTGCTGTAGGTTCTGACCATCAAGTGGGGGAATTGACATGCATAGAATTAGTTGAGCATCTTATTCAATTAAATTGGTGTTGTATGTATTTTAAAATGAAGAATACATTTTGTTGTGATTTGAAATTGAATATATTATTTATCCTTATTTAATTACTAAATGAAATTAAAATCTTTTTTTTGAATAAAATATTTTTTAATAATTCTTTACTGTCGTTCCAATTGAAGTATTCCTCAAATATTGATGCAATACATTACCTTGGGCTGACCAATTCATTTGATCAAGTTCCTTGAGATATTCATGCACTTCCTAGTATAATTGTAAACTTCCTGTTGAATAGTTTGAATGCACCAATCACCTGTGTTGTTCGTGCAACTAACCAATCATAAATAGAAAGGAAGTGACCAGAAATGATCAAATACTTGGAATTGGCTCTTTCACAGGAAGTGTATGAATATCTCAAGGAACTTGTTGAAATGAGATGGTTGTGTTGTGTTACGCTGAGTGTATATCCACACCGAGCAGGCTTGAAGAATATGCCTGGCCACGGTGGGATTCAAACCTATGGCGGCCTTTGGAATACTAGGTGCCCAATGCTCTGCGGTCAGGTCGGTTCGAATCCCACTGTGACCAGGCATATTTTTCAAGCTTGCTCGGTGTGGATATGCACTCAGAGTAACTTCACATGTAAGCATCATATTCACCTGAGTACACTACACCAACACAACAAATATCATGATTATTAGATCACACTAATATCAAAGGAACTAGACACGGTTCCAAAATATTGCATACTCAAACCGTCCCGACCGCATAGCTCAGTTGGCAGAGCATAGGGCCAGTATTCTAAAGGTAGTAGGTTCGAATCGCACCATGGCCAAGCATAATTTTCAAGCCTGCTCGGTGTGGATATAGACTCAGAGTAACATCACACAAGCATCTTATTCACCTGAGTACTGTACATTACATCAACATGTACACAGCAAATATCTTGATGGAATGAATTGGTCAGCCCAAGGTATTAAATGTATTGAATCAATATTTGAGGAACACTTACAAATAAGGTATGAATCGCATAAAATGCAGATATCAAACATTGTAAATCAAGCATAAAAATGTGCATATTTGTTTTAAAAGGCAATTGTTCCTTGAATGTTCAATGAAATAGTGCCATCACCTTTTACAAGGAAGACCATTCTAAAGAAATACACTGGACTTTCTTCATTGCCACCCTGTAATATAGTACAGATATCCCATATTTTCTTGATAAATTCATACCTGAAAGCAGAATACATACAGGTGTAAAAAACTTTAATGGATATATAAGTGCTTTATATTCCAAAGAGTTGCTTTTCCCCACAATTTTAATACTAATAGAATAAACTGGTATTAAAATCTCTAAAAAAACCTTTGTCGGCTCAGGGAAATTTATAGCAGCACGGTTTTCAACAAGCTATATTCGCTTAATTTTACTTACTGGGGATTGTTATAATACTCGTGTTTTAAAGAATAATCTTGATAGTCTGTTGCAACACAAATTCACAATACAACAAGAATTGATAAATCATTTCAATGACTTACATGCTTTGTTCTTGTGACCGTCAAGCTCCATTCATGTCTTTTTCTATTAATGGCTTCGGTCTTTATTGATTTATACGCGCAGTTAGAATAATACTGTATTTTCAGAAGGACGAAAATCAAAATAGTGAAAATACTCTCCATCGATCAACTAATATAAACAGTCAGTACAAAATCAGGGGGGTTGAACTTTGTCGCCCACGGACATTCGAGCCACGGGTCAGTGGAAACCGCCAAGAAAATAGGTCGATTGTGACGTAAAATCCGCCATGATTTTGGCCACACACTTTCGTCGAGAGCACGATCTCCAGATATATAAGTATAGCTCAGTGGGCTATCCTTTGCAAATTTTCGGGCCCTAATTGAGGCTCTGGGCTAGTTGCCAAATGTAGTAGCAAAAATGTTATAGTCATTTTTGCCAGGGGGGGGTAACTGGACACCCGCCAGTTGTGCCACTGGTTATATCCAGGCGAAGCAAATATTATTATTATTAATAAATATCCTAACATTTATAATGGGGGCTCAGTAACATGAATCAATTAAGTAAATGAAATATAGCACTGTGGGCAAAAAAAGACAGCAAATTTGGCCACGTACATATAACTTTCTGGCGTTACTTTGGAATATCACGAAACTCCCTCACAGGATAGAACTTAACATTCCTAAAAATCGTATGTTTTTTGTTTTTCGATTTTGTTACATTTTGGCGGGAAAATGACGTGCTAACTTTGGCGCCAAAAAATTAAACACGAGCTAAGAACATGCTAGTAACTTTTTTGAAGAGATTGTCCTATAAGGATCTCAAAACTGTCAAAACATTAAAAATACAACATGGCAGTGCGAAGATATGGCGATTCAAAGTTCGAAAAAAATCTATTTTTAGTAACAAAATGGCTGATTTTTCAGTAAAAATAGAAGTTTGAATCGCCATATCTTCGCACTGCCTTGTTGTATTTTTAATGTTTTTACAGTTTTGAGATCCTTATAGGACAATCTCTTCAAAAAAGTTACTAGCATGTTCTTAGCTTATGTTTAATTTTTTGGCGCCAATGTTCGCACGTCATTTTCCCGCCAAAATGTAACAAAATCCAAAAACAAAAAACATACGATTTTTAGGAATGTTAAATTCTATCCTGTGAGTGAGTTTCGTGATATTCCAAACTAACAACAGAAAGTTATATGTATGTGGCCAAATTTGCTGTCTTTTTTGCCCACCGTGTAGGACACTTGTTCTAATTGCAAACATTTTACAGCAGGTCTAAATTGCAGGGTGTAGGTTGGTACAGGTTGCTGGTCGAGTTATAGTGTTTTGATTAGGATACCCCAGAATGCCATTGTTGATTTTTATGTGGACTAAGTTACAGATGTATTAAATGGTCATGGCTCAGGATGCAACCCTCAACTACCAAGGAGGATTGTTACACATGTTTTTTTGCATTTTGTAGCTGATCATTGTATGTGCAAAATATCATTTGAAAAATATTACTTGAAATATGGCCTAAATGTTGAAAATGAAAACTAATTGACATAAATGGCAGCACTGGGCAGGCATGTTTGGAATTAAGTGCCAACTATGAGGCCAAATAAAAAGAAAATAGTTGGTGATTGTCCTTTACTTTTGAAAAAAAAAAATTATAAAAATATTTAGAAAAGAAAAAGATTTTATTAAAAAAAGAATTTCAAACGTGAGCAGATTTAACACCCAAAAATAGGCATGCAAAAATCCTAATACCTGTCATTTTGCACGTGGTTCATGCACACAATGCATCTCGATCGTGTATTTGCACACATGAGATATGCATCTCATCACATGCATGTGTTTGCATACAGGAGATAATGCACTGATCAAAATGAAGGTGTAATATCCCCCTCCCAGACATTTGACTTTTGCAATGATCAAATTCCCCACCCCAAGTCAAAAAACAAATTTCAAACGCCCTGCTTTCCACAACTAAGTGGTGGTCAAATGCCCCATTTTAAACTTAATTTGAAGGTTGAAATTCTTCAACTTCCCCGGTCCACTCTTCAACTTCCCCGGTCCACTCTCGTCCAACCAGTCTTGGAAATAATTCATATTTTGACTTTGAAAATCGTTTACTAACATTTTCGCCATTTTCTTAAAAATACAAAAGCAAAAACAAAGTGCATTTGATTGAAACGGGAAAGTACAAAAACATTACTGATTGAAACATTAAAGCCTATCTATAATATAGCCTTCATGTCAGGTAAAAAGAATAGTTTTTTAGTTGTGGTCAAATCCACCACTTTAAATTTCTCGACAACAAATGCTCGCCCCTAGGGAAAATAACGAATGGTAAATGCCCCTCTCGTTCCCAATCAATTAAGTAAATGAAATATAGGACCCCTCTCGTTCCCAATCAATTAAGTAAATGAAATATAGGACACTTGTTCTAATTGCAAACATTTTACAGCAGGTCTAAATTGCAGGGTGTAGGTTGGTACAGGTTGCTGGTCGGGGGGAATGTTACACCTTCGTTTTGATTGGCACACAATATCGTTGAGTTTTCCCCTACTTTGCAAACCGGGGGGGGGGGGCAGCCCCTGTACCACTTCCCAAATAAATACATTCCTACCGTCTAAGTGCCAGCAAGCGTTTTTTCCGCTCTTCTACACCAAGAGGATCGATCTCTCTCATCAATGTCGCTACAACATGGCGACTAACGTGTATACCATGTCTTAATCGCAAAGCATGCCAAATGCTTCTGTATACCGATAGACTTCCAGCTCCTTGCATTTCTTCCTGGATAACAGCCTTTAAGTGGTCTTCGTCAAACTGAATGCTTTTTCGTTTGAGCCCTAAAGCTCTGAGACGCCTCTTGACTGCACTCAAGGACATGTGGAAACCTTGTGCTGCTAGTAGTCCAACAATGGCATCGCACGGATAACCACAATCAAAATATACTTTTAGAAGCTGGTTAGCGTCCCGTTCAGACGAACAGTTTCCACAATACATTTCTTCAATGCTATTATGTTCAGAACCGCATCCAGGGCAATACATTACCGTATTTATATGAAAATTGGATGAAAATATGAAAATTATAAAAGACGATTTGAATGAACGATACAAATATATAGCTCCAATTATATATAGCTCAGTGGTTCATACATGTGACGTCATGCGTGTGCACAGTTTCATTTTTTTATTTGTGTGTTCTTTTTTGTTTGTGTGTATTCAATTTTTTTATTTGTGTGTTCACTTTTTTATTTGTGTGTTCACTCTTTTTTATTTGTGTGTTCACTCTTTTTTATTTGTGTGTTCACTTTTTTTATTTCTGTGTTCGTTTTTGTTTGTGTGTGTTCATTTTTGTTATTTGTGTGCCTTCACTTTTTTTATGTGTGTGTTCTTTTTTGTTTGTGTGTGCCCTATAATTTTCTTTGCATACATTTGTTTTATAATTCGCAAGTAATACTTTTAATTGTGATGGACAAAGGTTTATTTTGTACATTTTTTTTATTTGTGTGGGTTTTTATTTGTTACACATGGTTTTAATTTTTTATTTGTGTGTGCATTTTTATTTCTTTTGTGGTGACCCTTGTGAGCCACCGTATTTGTCAAACAAGTGAAATCCAGTATTTACTATAATGTGTTTATTCAAAATTTGAATTGTTGATTTTAACTAGTATTTGACGGCATTGAAATGAAATAATTCAATATATAAAACCTCGCACGCGCAAATTCAAATTTTAGCAGCCACAAGATAAAATGGGTAAATACGGTCAATGTACGTTATAATTATATGATATAAACAGTAACATTTCATACCAGAGATCAATAAGCCTTCGGCAGGATTCGGAGACACTTATCCAGTGCAAAATAAGATAAATACCATGGTCTTCTTGACCGAAGTCAGTACTCAAAGTGTCTCAAACGAAAAAGTCGAAAATTTGCAAATCACACTTGAAATTTGACACACGATATCCCACAACTCATTGCGCGTGTGACCCTTGTCTTCTAAAATAGATACACCAAAAAGTGCTCCCAATGTATCACTGAATAATGTATGTGCTGTACACCACTGCATACATATAAGTAATATGTATATAATGTCTATGTGTAATAATATAATTAAAGCTACTTTGTTATTTTACTCTAACTAACACCAGACGATTTTATTTGTCAAGAGAAGAACCTACTGTAATTGTGCCTCGGTGGATTTACAAACTATCCACCAAATTTTGTTAACCCATTAAGCCGCATGCACTTAAATGCACCCTATTTTATTATTTTACTCTGCCTAATACCAGACACTTTTATTTGTGAAGGGGGGAGTTGTGTTCTAGTAATATGAATTACTAGAACACATTGGTATTCAAGGAACTAGATACTGTTCCGAAATATCACTTACTCGAACCGTCCTCACCGTGTAGCTCAGTTGGAAGAGCATTGGGCTAGTATTCCAAAGGTTGTAGGTTCGAATCCCACCGTGGCCGGGCATATTTTTCAAGCTCGCCCGGTGTGGATATGCACTCAGAGTAACATCGCGAACATATTATTCACCTGAGTACACAACACCAACACAGAAAAAATAGTCTTAATACATTACATAGCTGAAAGTGAAATGCACTGGTCGAGAATACTAATGTGGAGTGTGTAAGAGAAGCTCTAGAAGTACAAGACAATGCATGCCAAAGGTGGTAACTTTCTAGGGGGTACAGGGCTTGCCTCCATGAAATTTTAAGTTGGGGTATTCATCATTTTGTTGATCATAACTTTCTGCTTTATAATCATATAACTTTTGTTAAAGGTGATGTAAAGTCTGTAAATCGTAATGTGAACAATGTTTGTTTACAATTTGAACTCAGTGCTACAGTTGTAAAATATGATTAGATATATATTATACTGAATTTTTAACACTCTTCTGGTTCGCTATGCTTTAAATGAATGCACAGTAGAGATTCAATTCAAGAAAGTTTGGAAGGTGCGAAATATTAATAACATTCCAAAGGTTGTTCCCCCACTGATGGAATGTGTTGATGTGCAGAATATTTGCGCAGAACCGACTTTACAGCATCTTTAATTAATGTTAGTTAATTGTGGTTACTGAAGAATAAAATTGTATCAATTGTGTCATGAAAGCTAGAGGGATTCCCCAAATACAATGCACTGAAATTTAATGCAAAGATCCAATTCCCATATATACCCCCAGAATTGACCAGTTACTACCAGTTCACTACTTTGTCTAATGCCAGATGATTATTTTGGTCACTACTTTGTCTAATGCCGGATGATTATTTTACTTCAACTTTTTGAACACAGAACAGTTGATTTAAAGAATAGACTGTAATCTACCAAAAAGTTTTCCACTGATTTTGATTATTCTTTGTGACATGAATCATGATGAATAAGGTTAAATAAATATCAACAACTACAAATGCAGTTTTTTTTCATAGCAACAATGCAAATTTAATACTTCGAGCAAATTCAATGCTTTTCATAGATACATGTACGCTTAGCGTGCCTATTTTACTGATGAAACAGACTGTTGCGGAATTTTGAGGTAAGCGAAATTAAATATATATATATAATATATATATATATATATGCCACTGAAAGTAATGGACAATTCTCTTCAAACTTTCTCATGGATAAAACACTCAATGTCACCATCACTTTTGAGACCAAGACAGCACAGATTTTCAATAACATTTGTTTCTTCTGCACTGGGCTAATCTGATCTTTTACATGCATTTTCTGAAGCCTATCAATTTCATTTTCATAGGGTTTAACCAGTACATAATTTAAAGTAATGTACTGTTCAAATTTGCTCTTGAATTTTGAAGCAGTTGTATTTGCTTGAGGTGTAATATTGGCATCCAGTTTTTCAAAAGAGGGTCCTGAAGGGGTAAAATGGGAACTGGGATTGATCTATTTTTAGACTGGGAAAATGGGATTTGGGTTGCTGGGACTGGGATTTGGCCACTGGGAATGGGAAATGAAGTGTTTTAAAATACAATTCATTGATCCGTTTTTGGTGTCTTTGGTCATGATTTTTGTTGTTAACTATATTATTCACAGCACTACCTGTGAACAGGAATTCTGGGTTTTCTGATTATGCATGTCTCAGAATGCTGCAAATGCCATTTCCGGGATTCAAATTTAAAAATTTTCCGTGCCATCCCCCTAATATTTCATAAAGTGTCGCCACTTGCTTAAAAGGTCTTAAAACTGGTTATTCTACCGATAAATAAAGGGTTTTTTATTGACTGGGATTTCAATAACTGGGACAATCTCGTTCCCAGAGTATGCCTGTTCGCGGGTTAGGTTGTGGCATGACTCTGGGGAAATCGAATTTTTTTATCCAAAATGAGATAAATGGCGCATGCGCTTTTATTGCTTTTGTTTATTCCGCTTACTAAATTCGTGCGGGCACACGCTCACAATCGATATTGTTTTAAACAAAGATTCTCATCAGAATATAGTATACAAAATGGGTTTTATACGTTTAAAGGTGCTTTAAATCGTACTACTATTAAATTATATTCAATGGCAAATACTGAAAGAGCTATGAAAGTTGTTCTAGCGAAAAGAGGGCTTGAATATTCTTTAAAAGACGAGACATTCAAATGTATCTCGGCCATAATTATGTAAAATGGTGAAGATGTTTTAGACTTTTGGCTGTTTTGCCAACAGGTTATGGGCTTATTATGGCAAATATTAAAATATTTCAGCTGCTACCTGACGTGTACGACGTACTTGGCGTAACTAATTCTATCGTGATACACTATATTATTGTGATGGCAGCGATATCAAATTACCATTGGATCGACATGAGAACCTGACGTATAAGCTGTTCTATATGCACCCAGAAATGTGTGTCTATGACAAGAAAATACAAGCTTTTTTCAACTGTATACTGTAAACCTCTGAATATAATGCTCACCTCATTCCAAATATAAGCCCCCCCCCCCTGAATATAAGTTCCCTAAATATAAGCCCCCTGAATATAAGCCCAGAATCCCACTATGTTATTTAACATTGACATTGTATTTTAATATAGCAGAGAACAATATTTGAAACAACATTGTCTTTATAGCTTACTATGTTAAAGGTAATCTACAGTCCGTATGTACTGTAAACAAAGCCTTTGTTTACATTTTTGTGTCCAAAATATTGAGCTTTATTCGACAACTATTTATATTTTCAAGCTTCTAGAGTATAATAAATGATCTAGAAACAACAATCAGGCTTTTCAAGAACTCAAAACATAGTTAAACTGTTTGTATCATAAAAAGTGGGCTCATTTGTGCACATGCGCAAATCGGACTGTAGATCACCTTTAATGGAAGTGTGTTATTAATACATGTTTATTTTCCTGTTTATAACTGACTTGTTTATTACTAACACAATTGATCGTCCATGTATAAGTCCCCCGTGCATATAAGCCCCCCCCCCCCAAGCCCATCAAAATCACTTACAAAAGAATATAAGCCCAGGGCTTATAGTCAGAGGTTTACGGTATTATATATCCTATATTTTAACAATAAACACATTATTTTTTATATTATATTACATTAACATATATACATGGAGCACATATAAAGTCTTTAAATGACAGTACATTGTGTTTGTAATTATAATTACCATAATTACGTGTCGAAAGTAAGAAATGAAGTGAACAAATCCATATATATTTGTTGAAAATTTGTTGCAGTGGGTATCTTCCATTTGTTTTTCATGCTTCACACTGTGTATCTTTGAACATTTAATCAGCAACTAATTATAAGCAAGGATATATTTACTAGCTCATTTCTCCATATTACCAGGTACATAACATGCAAATTATACATCAACCTTGCAATCCAGGTTTTGACCCCTGCAGTTGCCCCTCTCCTGCAGCATGTTTGGGAAGGGAGAGGAAGGAATGGAGGTACTGTAATTTCTATATTTAGCCCCCTTCTCTTCAAGCCCCTATCCAATAACCCCCCCCCCTCCCCTCATTTGGATACAAAAATAAAAAATAAATAAGCCCCCCTCTTTTAACCATGCAGCCTTCATTCAATTCTTAGAATCATGAAATATATTGCATTTCTGCAGTATTTTAATAAAATATAGTACAACGGTAACTCTGAATATGGACATTTTTTAATGGTAACCAGACTTATTGCATATATTTAGAACAAGTGCCCCCTCAATGATGCTTAGGAAACAATAATACACAGAAGGCTTGATAGTTGATACAGAAATTAAAGTAGTTATTTGATTGAAACTGGTAGGTATTTCAACTCTACTGTACCTCCTTTTATATATAATTGGATTAATTGCCGATATATTCGCATAGTATAATAGTTTGGAAATGGAATCAATACTTGTATATTTTCAGCAAATGAGCATTGTTATTGATCAACAATGACTCTTATTGCTATAAACATTGTTTCACATAGCAACAGACAAGGAAACATCTGTATTTAAATTCACTACTTATTTTTTATCCAGACACAAATTGATGTAAAAATTGTTTCAGGTTTGGCTTAGTTTGCCTTACATCGGGCTATTCCATTTAATATCCATACCCCCCCCTGTCGAGGATCCCTGATAAAGGGTTTTGAGCTTGAAATTTTGGAATTCTTTGAACATGGGTAAAAGGTTTCGAGCTTGGAATTTTTCAGGGGTAAAGGGTTTTGAGCTTGGAATTTTGGAACTTTTCAGGGGTAAAAGGTTTTCAGTTTGAAATTCTTCAGGGGTATAACCATGAAAAACATGTATCCTCGACAGGGGGTGTACGGATATTAAATGAAATAGCCCATCATGCTGTCAAGTGGCAATCACTTACAAAGCAAATCTATAACCAAATGTTTTACAACCTGAGGAACTTCTTAAATCAATTATTCTATAATTTATACAGATGCTACAAAAACACCTGGCATCTTAAATTTATATAGATAACTCCATTTACAAAAGCACAAAGACCACAGGCTACAACATGTTGAGTGTTGACCATTGACCATAAATAATGTACTGTATTGTTTAAAGCTTCAAGTTTTAACACAAGCAAAAGCTGTCACTCCAAAGTCCTGGCAACAATGTGTCAATTTAACAAAACGACAACGTGTGCGATTTCATTTAGCCAATTCTTTCATGGTTATAATGAATATACTCGTACTGTAGATCGATAAAAAG